TGAGCGTGATAACTCAGTGAATTTATATTAAAAGAAAGAAAAAACAAGTGTCACCTGATTTTAATGTCACAGGCTTTGTGAAACCATCATCATTTGCCTTCACCAAATCTTTTACAACCAGTGAGAAGTTCATAAATATAATTTTATTCTATTGCTCCTGAGTTAACTGGGGAAAAAAGCATTGGGAAGTATGATCGGGATATTGACAGGAGGCAGAATGGTCCCACAGACCTATATTTCTGGGCTCCTAGGGAAAAGTCCCTCCTCTGGAGTCTGCTGGGAGGAGGAGAATCACCAGGCACTGGGAAGTCCTGGACTGATCTTCCTTCCTAACCTCATTGAAAACTTGGTGTGGATGGCTGAAAGGGAAATTGTCACTTCAGGGCAATAAAGCTGTCATAAGAAAAATGAACACTTGGAAAGGTATTTGGGACAGGTGCATCCTTATTTCTGGGCAAAGAATTGGGGACATTGCAGTTTTCACTTGCAAAGCAAAAACCATCCTCCCAAAAGGCGGCGTTAGAGAGTTGTTCTGCAGACAGTGTGAACAGGAGACCACGGGCAGCATCTCTGCAGCCTGCTTCCTCGTGTTTCTGTTTTAAGTCAGGGTCAGACTTCAGTGCTTGCAAAATGTTGCTTCTTGGGAATGTGTATCTTACTGAAACAAATGATCACAGACCAGGTTTTCTGCTGGTGATTGAAGGGCAGCACTGAGTGCTGTTTGGGGACACAAGTGCCACCTAGTGGTACAAGAGCTGCGGAAAGAGATGTTCTTTCTTTCCGTTTTGGAACCCCCTGGGGCACCTTGTGAACTGGAGGCTCTTGGATTATCTGGAGACACTGCCCTTGCACAGACATTGAAGGATAAAAAGGAGAGGAGGGAGGTAAGTGGCAGAGGTTTTGGGCAAAGGTTGGACAGACGTGAGAGAAGGCTCCTCATGCGTCATCCCAGATATACCAGATTGGAGGGTGGGGAGTAGCTTCGTGTCAGGGGGCAGTGAGGGACTTCAGAGGAAGCAGGGTCAGGACCAGGATTCAGAGGGTGTGATCTGCTTTGCCTCCACACTCTGCAACATCTGGAGACACTTGGGTTATCACAATATTAAATCAGTTCTTACAGAGAGCTTTATACCAAATACTTTTACCTATGTTATATGTAATCGTCAAAACAGCTCTGAGAAGTATTATGATCTTGGTTTTCCAAATGAACACAGTGAGCTTCAGGAAGCTTACGTAGCTTATTCAAAATCATCCGGCTATTAAGTGGTGGAGCTAGACCTTATTCCTGGGCCTTCTGACTTCACATCAGAGATTTCCATTGTTTACCTGAAAATGCCCCGTCTGGACACCAGCTCTCTCTGCTGCTGGCTCCCTTTGTCTCTGCTCCTTACAGCATGTCTCCCTAATTGAGTGCCTCCAAAGGAGATACAAACATACACTTTCACTAGGCGGGTTGCTCTGGTCTGAAGGGATGGGAGTTCTGCCCAAGAATTTGGTTCAGAGATAACCATAAATGTCAGCTCTGCCCTCCTGGCCTGCAAGGGCCCTGTGTTTAGCAAAGCATGTTGGTCTGTGGCTGGGGGAGATGTCAGCTCCTTTACAGAAGACAGCCACAGAGGTACAGGCATTGGGGTTTGGCAGCTAGAATGAGGCAGGCAGTGGGCTTCAAGGAAAGAAAAAGGCCAAAAATAAGGCACTTGGCCAGGTCTGGGCATCTGGCCCTGTGGGGTGGGTGCTGAGCACAGGGAAGGCTTGAGACTAAATCTGCTGCTCGGTTTTAATTGTGGCTGTGCTGTCTCTGCTGGGATCCTTCATACACTAGCCGCACCTTTCTTCTTCTCACTTTATTCCATCACAGTCCCTTCTACTGAGATTTTTGTGGCTCTCACAACAGGGACATAGAGACACCCAATTTGTGCTCTTGGGTCTCCATATCTAAGGAGAAGGAATTATTATTTCCCTGATTCACACCACAGCACATAAGAAACAAGACAAAAAACTGGAAATGCAAATTAACTATGTAAAAATACTACCAATGACGTGTATACATTTGAACAGGTTCACACCCGTGGCTTAGCTCCTTAGGGAACAGTGTGTGCTGCCTCCAGCACAGAGCTGACATAGAGCAGGTGCTTGGTGAACAAGGTTGTTGAATTAATAATCAGGCACTGATGTGGGGAAATGACCCGGTCTTAATGGAGCTTAAACTGTAGTAGGGAAAGGGACCTAAATAAGCAAACAGGCAAGTACAGAACAGGTCGGAAGGTAATCATTGCTAGAAAGAAAATTAAGGCAAGGCACAGAAACAGAAAGTAGAGGAGGCACGGGGGAGGGGTACAATGGTACTTTAACCAGGGTGGTCAGAAAGACCTCTGTGATAAGGTGCCCTATGTGCAAAGAAAGAAGAGTGAAAATAAATGGGAAATGCATATGAAATTAATGTACTTCAGAATATGTTTGCAATGAGCTTCTGTCCATTTCAGGTACGGGGCAGGGTGCTCTGGAGGTTGCAAAATGGAAAACAGTCCCTAGCTTTAGGGGCTCAGGGAGGGTTAACACATGCATACCTAAAAAAGCCCCATCATTACCATGAATGTCAGGGTCTGGGCCACGGGTCCTGGGGGAGGGTCCAAGACATTGGGTTATTGAGGACTGGCTTGAATGGTTCTCTATGGCTTCATGGAAAAGTTGCCCAAGAGCCTGGGTTTGAAGGTTGACTAGGTATTAGGTGGAGCAGGTGGGGAGAATGTGCACTCCAAAGTGGGGCATGGGGTGAGGGAGGGATAGACTTCAGAGTTTGCAAGGCCTGTTCATGCCTTAGAACAAAGGCTTCCATCCTTCCCAACACCACTGGCCAGAACCAGCAGGATCTGACCCCTGCCTACATGTCCCCTGTCCCTGTGCTCCAGCCACAGGCCTTCAGTGAAGGGAAAGAAAAAACTTCCAAGACTAGTAAGAAGAAAGACGATGATGCCAGAGTGCCTCTATCATGGCCCAAGGAAGAGTATGCCTTGACTCCAGGACACAGCATTCCTACCCCTTAGCAGGGAGACCCTCAGACTAGAGGTAGAATAACAAGGTGAGGGAGTTTGAGGTCACCAGCCACTGAGATCACTCCTCTGCTCTGAACCCAAATCAACTTTTCTGAGTCATTCCTCCTGGGGAGAGAATGAAGGCGTGGCTGTTCCCTGTGGATCCAGACCCACTCCTCACCACAATGAGTGTCTTGATCTCTGTTTATCTGCCTTTTGTTAGCTCCATTCACCACCCACCAACACAAAATACTTCCCCTTGCAGGTGTGTGGCTTGAGCTACTGTGTTGAGTTTTCGCGGTATGTATTTTCCCTGGTGGTGGGTGGCGGGAGGGGGATTTCCGCATGTCAGTCATCCAGGTCCACAGCTGGAAACAGGACCCCAGGATGTAGATTTTCAAGCAGGTACAGAACACCCTTAGAATTCCTTGGGTCTGTATTGTGGGGAAATGTTCTAATGTTTCTGAAGTTCTGCAGGCGAACCCACAGAGAACCACAGATCTGCTCTAACCCTCCTTTTGCAAGGTTTTGTCTTCTGGGAAGCATTGCTTTGTACAAACATACTCGATTTGTGTAGTGACTCTTCTGTGAGGGGTGTTTGGATTGTTTCCAGTTGGGGGTTATTGTGGACATTGGTGCTAATTCCTTTGGATGATAGACATCAATGATAAACATCTGTGGGACCCTTGTCAGGGGCCAGATCCTCCATGTACTTTAAGAGGTAAATAGCCCAAACTAGAAATAAACTACAGTGGGATTAATAGATGCATGAGAATAAACTTCCCTCAGAGTAAAAGCAGCTTTTTCTTAGAGGGGCTTTAGACAACTAGACCTTCACCAGCCAAGAGCCTGCACTGAGCTCCAGCTGGGCTTCTCCAGGTCCTTCCAGAGCAGAGAGGAAAGGCAGACACATGGGATTAACTTCAGTAAAACGCTGATCCCTGGTGGACACTTCTTGAACTGCCTCATTTTCTTACCCTCACAGACGGCATTCAGCAGAGACCCAAAGGCAAAATGTTCTTGTGACTGAATGTCCCTCTTTCACAGCTTTCTCAGGTTTGAGGCTAAGAACCCCAAAAGACACACTTTGCTCTCTCTCTCCAAAATTTGCTGGGAGCTGAGTTTAACATCAAGCATGTTAAGGCCAGGTACTATAACTTAGGGATTTCATAGTTACATGAAAAGATAACAGAAAATTGTTTTGTTTCCCCAAGATTGGCAAGAATTTTACCCCAATTTAACACCTACTATTATTGCACAACTTAAGCCCCCCAAAAGTGAAGCTCGAAGTGTGTCTTAACCAGACTGAGAAAATAGAAAATTTCCTTCTAGCTTCAACTCAAATTAAAATAGAGTCAAAATATACTTCTGACTTGGTAAAGAGCCTTTCTCTGAAATGAAGGACCATCTATCTCCCTGCTTTGCATTTACAGCTGCCACCAGGCAGAGTTCACCCTCAGGGAGCCACTGGGAGGGCTTGACCTCAGGGTCCCTAGAGTTAGAAGCCTTGTGGTCCCGGGAGTCTCAGCCCTGGCATCCGGATGCCCTGACACCACCCCCAGGCCACCCCCAAACCAGGCGTTGGCATTGGCACCACTTTTTCTAAAGCTCTGCAGGCGAGCCCACAGAGAACCACAGATCTGCTCTAACCCTCCTTTTGCAAGGTTTTGTCTGCTGTGGAGCCCTGCTTTGTATGGACATACAGGATTTGTGCAGTGACTTTTCTGTGAGGGGTGTTTGGATTATTTCCAATTGGGGGTTATGGGGGACAATGATGCTAAGCACCTTCCTGGCAGGGAGATTTGCTCTCCTGTCATCCAGGGAGAGTGAGGCCCAAGGAGTAAAGGACTCTCAGAGGGGAGGAAGCCAGGCCAGGCCTCCAGGGCAAGGAAAGCCCATTGGCCTCCCCATTGCCCAGCACCACCTGTCCCAATCCAGGGAGGCAATGAACACCGCCGGCAAAGTATGTGAGTTTTCAAGATTTTATTGTAAAACAAAGCCTGAGTCATGGGGAGTTGGAAAACTTTCCACTCAACATATACAACACACATCAATGGAGCACCTGCTGAGGCCAGGCCATGTGCCCAGCCCTGTGGGAACCTGAGACGCAGGAACTCAAACTCACTGCTCTCAGGTGCTTGTGGGCTGTGAGGGAGCCAGACAGAGGCACAACCATCTTTTAAACAAGTCAGAAGTGCTAAATGGTCAAGGAGCCATTCACCTCTCCCAGCCCAGGAAAGAACTAGATGAAGCCCATTTGTGCTGTGCCTTGGGAGCTGGGGAACTTTCAGAAGCACTGCAAGCAGCTGTAAGAAGTCTGGAGTGGAGATGGGGCTCGGGGCCTCCAGACTTACAGAAGCGTTCCAGAAAGAAAAAACTTAGGGACCAACATAGTACAAAAGCTTTTCATTTTTATAGGTTAGAGCATTACAAAAATAATAAAAAGATTAAAAAGAGAGACCTACTTTCACCATCATTTTACAAATACAGAAATATTTTGATATTCCCCTTCCAGAAAGGACAGAATCTACAGATAAAGGACTCTCCTCCAAACTGGACAGAGTTGGCTTTAAAAAAAGTACCATGAAATCCGTATTGTCTATTTCACCACAGATCTCCCCCATGGAGCACCATCAGTTTACAAAACAAGGTTTGGGAGTCACTTAGTGGGAGGTCAGTGAGCGGCTTGAGGTCACCTGGGGCATGGAAGGAGGAGGAGTTGCGGAGAGGACCACAGAGGGCATCCAAGCTGCCTGGTGGCCTGGGTGTTACTGTGAAGACACGGTTGCATTGAAGAGCTCTGAACAGAGCTGTGGCTCAAGCCCCACTTTAGAAAGACCATCATGGAGGCAATGCAGAGGCTGGGTTGGCCGAGGAGGCTGGAGACAGAGCTCTGCCCCCAGAGCCCTTGGGCTCCTTTCAAGGGAGGGTCCAGCCCACCAAGTCCCCTCAGACAGCCAGGGGCCCCATGACAGCTAGGAGGCCCCCGGGGGTGGAGAGGCAGTCTCTGGAGTCATCGAAGTGCCAGGAGTAGGGTGGGGGTACATCCAGTACTACTGGTCCTGCCGGAAGTAAAACTTGGTGACCATGACGGCCTCTTCAGGCATGTTGGTGAGGCTGACAGGCCGGTCTGCCTCCAGGGCTGTGCAGAGGAACCAGCCGGGACAAGCGGCAGACTCAAAGCTGGTGGTGGCACCGCTGTCCGAGTGGATGAAGGTGAAGCGCTTGTCCTGCTCCTTGTTCTGGCTCAGGTCAGTGATGTTAACTGGCTGGAAGACAAGAATGAGCTGTGAGAGCTGAGGGGCTGATGGTCCTGTGCACCCCCTCCCCACCCCACCATCATGTGGCCCAGAGTGTGTGCAGGAGAACTGCTAACCTAAGGGCACTGCAGGACACCACATGCACCAGGTCTCTCAGGACAGCAGTGGCACAAAGAGGTTGTCCCATTGTCACACCTCAGCTTTGGGAAATCTTGCCACTGAGCCATGTGCCAGTAAGTTTGATAAGCACATGGCACAGCCTGTAGAGGCCAAGGCCCATGGAGCTGGTCTTTTGTGTCTATGCCTCCAACCAGAGGGCTGGTGGAGAAGGTGGGCAGAGGGCACTGCAGCCCATTCCACAGGCTACACATAATATCCTAGGCACCCCTACTTAACACAGAGCAGTCACCCTCCAAAACAGTGCCCCTGTCCACATTGGAGGAGGTAACAGTTACACAATTAAAGCCACTCACGTTTGGATTAAGATCTTGTCCACCCAGCCCCCGACACAAAGCCATGTTTCCCAGGGCTGGAAGCCCATTAGCATTGCACAGAATCAAGGAGCATAGGGCCTGGAGTGGGGTACTGGCTCCTGGGTTTGAGCAGATGAGTTTAGGAAGAGAAAGGTCCCAAAGCTTAGCTGCTCTGGAAGAGGGCAAGTCTCCATGGGCTGGGGACCCTCCAGCAAGAGACTGAATGGAAGATGAACCATGCTTCCTGGAGTTCACACCCAGTGGAGTCCCATCCCTTCTGGGGCCAGACTCAGCCACGTGACTGGCTTTGGTCAGTGGGACATGAGCAGCATGGTGTAGCGGAAGGCAAACAAGTGCCTGCACACTGAGGTTCATCCTCTTAGAATAATACCCCCTGGAAGTCAGCAGCCATGCGGTAAGGAAGCCCAAGCTGCCAGCTGACCTCTGAGACCATGAGGAGGATGAGAAGCCAGGTGCCCTGGCACCAGCAGGCTCCCTGCTGAACGAACTACGCCAGTGGACAGAGCCACCCCAATGGGCCTCACCGGCCTTCAGCACCAGGAGGGAGCACACTGTGGGTGTTCTACACTGGGCTTTGGTGGCCGTTGTCTGAGACAGATCCTTACCTCCAGCTGGAGCCTGATCTTACTGCCAGATTTGACACAGGCCAGGCAGAGCTTCCTCCCGTGGATGCCCAGGAACACAGCATGAGGCTCAATGGACAGCATGTCTATCTTCTCTGGGAGGAGCAGAGGGGAGGGGCAGGTTGTAGAGAGAAGAGATGATGGCCTGGGGTCCCCCTAGAGAGTTTTCTGTCCCCCACAGTGAAAGCCCCAAGGTCAGGAGGGCAGCAGGCCCCATCTTCCCGGCCTCCCCACACACAGGAGATCAAGCCGATCATGCTGTCTAGTTACTCCTCAGGGACCAAGTCACCTAGATTCTGCTCCATGAGGTCTCTGTCCTTCCCTCTCTTCCCAGGACACCTTGGCTCCAGGCCAGCAGGTGTGCTGCCCATGGACAGAGACACAGCACACAGGTCACGAGTGGGGCCCCAGGGTTTGGTCCATGAGAGCCTGGGTGCACAGCTGCCTCTTCCCCCAGTGGTCTCTGGCCCCCACGCAGCAGTGAACGTCTCAGCCTCTCAGAGCTCATTAGGAGAACTGCCAGGACCAGCAAGGGTCTCACACTCTTTTGGCATGGGGCAGGGACAAGGCGATGGGCACCAGGGAGAGGGAGGTGATGACATCCTGTGACACCAGGCCCACCTTCAGGCAAAGAGAGGGTGCTGGACACCAGGGCCAACAAATCTCCTGGTCTGTTTCAAGCACGGTTTAGAACACAACTGAACGTGGTGTCATGAATCAGGCACAACCCAGCTTTCTATATAGTGTGCTCAATTTGGAGGGAGTCAGGGTTTGAACATACAGGAATATGGGAGGCTTCATAGGCACAGGAGGGAGGAGGCTGATCCTGCCCTCTGGGCCCTGCCCCTGCCAGCTGTGGCCCTGGGACCACTGTGCCTGTGGCTGGTGGCTCTCAACCCAAGACCCCTCAAGGCTGCACTCAAGTGTGCCCTGTAGTGTCCAGGCTCCCCAGCACCAAACTTGTCCACAAATGTCCAATGGGGATTAGGCCACAGAGCCTCATCTAAGGTTTCTGGGAGGCCACAGTGCTGCTGCAGACTCCAAGGCAAAGTGGCTCGGGCACCTTAACAACATCACTTCTCCTGGCAACCACTCACCTTCTAGTTTAATATTTGGTCCTTGCAAGTATCCAGCAATTAGTTGGTTATTCCTCAGGTAGAAGGTCTTCTGGTTAACATCCCAGATTCTGAAAAGCGAAAGGACCCAGCTGGAGCGGACAGGTGCGAGGGCTCCACTCAGAGTTCACTGAGTCTGTATCCGCTCCCTACCCCCCAGCACAGATGGTTGACACTGGTGGGGAGAACGGCCCAACTCCCACACCTGGGAAGCAGCATCCCCACATCCGGGCGTCTCCTCACCCTGCTCCCCATTCACAGACTCCCAGGGCAGGCCCCTTGCACTTCGGCAAAGCATGCTCCAGAGTAACGCCACCCACTAGAACTTTCTGGAGTGCACAAATGTTCCTTGTCTGCACTGTCCAAGAGACTAGCCACCAGCCACATGTGGCTCTTGAGCTCTTGAAATGTGGTGTGACTGAGGATCTGAATATTTCATTTTATTCTTATTTATAATTTCACTCTAAATTAAAAGAGTCATCAGAGACTAGTGGCCACCACAACACAGTGTAAGAGGTTTCAAGGGACAGAGCACCTTGCAGTTAACTTATTCTGAGACTTCGACCATGAAGATGTGTCCTCAGAGCCTGTCCTCCAACAGCCAGTAACCGCTCTGGGTCTGCCACCGGCAGCTGTCCCTGCGAACAAGTCAGCTTCCCCTACAGCTCCCCCAGTGGCCTGTTTCTGGCTCCCAGTCTTTTCTTCTTGATGAGAAAAAGAACGGTCCCCAGGCTGAAAGCAGCAGTAGGACGCAGTAGACAGAGCCCCAGGCAGGATGTGGGACCCACTCCCTGCCGCCCACCAGTGTGACCCTGGACCTCATCTGCTCACATGTGAAGTGTGGCTAACAAGCCCCCTCAAAGGTGGCTTGAGGAGCCCATGAGCTAGGTGAGGGGTGGCCAGGCAAACTGTGAAGCTCTTTCCACATGTGTGTGAGCATTTGACCTTTATGTGATTATTCTTAGTTCCCGGACGAGGCTCCTTCCGCGGGGACTGAACATGCCGTGGGAGACACCTCCGGGAGCTCCCACAGATAGGAGGCAGCAGAGGCAAATCTCATGAAGCCCTCGGCATGTGGGAAAGGGAAGAGGTGCTGGGGTGTGTGTGTGGCCTGCCGGGGCCAGGGGGGAGGTGGGTAGAGCCGGGCAGCACACATGCACACTTCACAGGTCCAACCCACAGCCTTGGGCCAGGAAAGTCAGAACTCGAGGGTGCAGCCACCCAGATACGGCTTCTGTCCTGGGATGCCATGGGACAGAGGGCATGGGAACAGCACTGTTTTTATCAACACTGCCACCTGTCATTTCTACACCAGTGACAGTGACATCTCAGAGAGCTCCTGACCTGGTTTTAAAAACCACATACTTTCAGGCACTTTTCAGTTTTCAGAATGCTGTCACTCTGTGATTTGTGCATTTCATCTTCACAACAACCCTGTGAGGCAGGCAGGGAGTCATCGATGGGGAGACTGAGGCTCCAGGGGAGCCAGATCCCCCATGGTGTCAACACTGGCAGGCGTTGTTAACCCTCAAGCTGGGGCTTTGGGCCGTGCCCTGCCTGGCGCCCCTCTCTGCTGCTTTGCCTGGCTCACTCGGTGGGGTCCAAACCCCAGCATGGCTCCTGGGCACATGTCTGTCGTTCACTGACTTGCCAGAGTCTCTGGGGGAATAGGCCAGGCCTCGGGCCAAGCTGTGCACATCCATAGTACTCTGAAACAGAAGCCCTGAAGCCCACGCGTGTGGCTGCCTCTTCCTGGAATAATGGCTGTTCCTTCCCTGCACAAACCCAGCTCCCAGGCCTGTGGAGGCCAGCAGCCCCAGGTGGCTGGGACACATGGGCATTGTCCTGCCTGTCCACCCGCCTCCTCTGAGTCAGCCTTACCTGAAGGCCTGCATCCTGCAGGGTCTCTTCTGCAAGGGAAGGCAGGCTGTCTCTGAGTGGAACAGGAAAAGCAGGAGAGAGATTAGGTAACCACGGCCACACCTGCAGATTTCCATCCTGTGATCAGAGCAGGGCAAGGGGAGACTGCCATTTCGGACCCAGAGGAGCTGCTTATAAAGAAAATAGTCACTCACCAAACCAGGCTGTTGCCGCCCTGTCCACTCAGAAACGGAAATGCCCTCACATTTCCAAAAAGAGAAACCTTTGCTGTTGTCACTTTCAGCCCTGCCGAGTGTCGCAATGGGTGTTGTAACTGACTCCCTCCCTTTTTCCCCCTGTGTAATTTCCCCAAAATTTAGATTCTGTTTCCCCTTCACTGAGTTCTTGGGAAGAACAGCCTGATGAAAATCAGATTCCCTAATCTGCCTAACAGGTATCCCGAGACTGTCTGTTGACTTAAAAGAATAGATCTGAGGGACAACATTCCCGTTCCTAGCCAAGTGGCGAGGCCCCAGCATGCCGGATGGCACATGTCACTTTGTGTTCTTTGAAGGAGGACAGACTTTCTGGACTCTAAACCGGCAGCTGGAGAACCTCTGTAAAGGGCCACATGGTAAATATTTTAGAATTAGTGGGCCGTATGGTCTCTGTCATTACTCAACCTATTTGTGGCAGCTTAAACAGTTGAAGACCATCTATCTGTACATGAGCAAACTAATTATGTTCCGATACAGCTTTATTTACAAAAACAGGTAGTGGCCGGGTTTGCTTAACGTTTGCTGACCCTGCTCTAGAGTAAACTTCCTGAGAGGTCCTATTCCTGCTGCTCATGCCTTTAAAGTTAGTCTCAGGAAATGGGGTGAACTCAGCACGTGGAGAGAAGTGGATCCAAATTCCACCTCTGCCACTTGCCATTTGCCACCTGTGTGACCTGCCACAAGCCACTTGCCTTATTTGGCCTCTGCCTCTTCATGCTCAGAATGAGATTGATCATAATTCCTCACAGGTGGAAGGAAAGAGGGAGGAAGGGAAGGTGGGAAGAAGGGAGAGGGATGTTCTAGCCCCAGTGGTACGATAAACATTAGCTTCCTTCCTTACTGCATTCTGGACAGGGAAGAGGTAAGCATACACCTGTTTGTGGATGGAAAGACCATGAAGAGGGCTTCTACGTGATCTGTATGATTGCATTACTTATGCCAGTGTACAAGCAGTGTAGCATTTAAGAACTGGATGGGGGCTCAGCAACTGCCCTATCCTACCCTATCGTTGTAGTCAACACCTAGAAAGATCCAGAGAGGGAAAGGGTCCTGCCCAAGGTCACACAGCTTGTGGACAGTAAAGGTATGGCCAGAAATTTAGGTCTTCTGACTCCCAGCCAGAGATTATGCTGCTACAGAAGTTAGTCTTGATAAGTCTGACTTTATATTCAACCTATGAATCAGAGTCTGCATCCAAATGAGGATAGAATCCTTTAAGGAGGAAGGCTACACTGCACATTTGAAAGTTGTTTTAAGATCTACTTAAAAGTTCTCATGACAAGAAAAAACTTTTATAACTAAATCTGGTGACAGGTGAGCCATTCTTGTTGTACACCTGATGTGAATATAATGTTACATGTCAATTACACACCTCAGTAAATTTTTTTAATAAACAGGTTACAAATGAATTACTCAACTCTTCAAAAAGCTCCATTTTCAGAGCAAATGGAAAAATTGTGTTTCCTGGGTGATGACTTTGAAGGACAAAATGGCACGTCAGAAACCCTGCTCTGTCTCACAGATTGTGTGACTTTGACAGAGTCGTTCAACTTTGAAACCGTGTGAGAAATAATGTCTGTCTTTGAGGCCAAGGGGCCGCTCTGTTTGTCCTGTCAGGGCTGACCAAAGGAGGTGATGTGTAAGGGCTCATTTGGTCATTTGCTGCCTTGTGGTATTTGCTGGGTCACATTTATAATTTCTGGAATACTGATGAATCATCGGGTGCATAACTTGATCACAGCACCTGCTGACATGGACAGCAGCTAGCACCCCCTGATACGAGTTCTCTCCTAAGTGTCAACTTCTGAAGTCCTCAACTGTTAAGTCAGCATCCCTCCAAGTGTCCTTGAAGATCGAAAAAGGGAAGTGACGTTCCTTTGTGGGGCTGAGGGCCCCTCCTGCCTGCCTCAGCAGGCAGCCTTCCAAGATTCTGCCTGCACTGTGGCTCCTGAGTAAATGTTCCTCTGTCCCCAACCCAGACTCAAACAGACAGATTTCTCCTGGAGAGCAGAGCCTGGAGTTTCCCCCCTTTCCCAGGTCTGTGCCCCAAGAAGGGACACCCAGGAAGCCTGTCTGGGTTTGGGGGAGGGGGCCCAGGGTGCTGCTGTGAAGTTGAGGGCTGCATCCTCCATTTCATTCACAGGCTGTGGGCAATGTGCTGGCACTCTCTCAGTTTCAGATCCACTGCCCATGGGATGGGGCTAATAACCAAAGCCTTGTCATGGGTTGCTGGGAGGATGGAGATGTTGCACACGTTGTACTGACCCTGACTCTCCTGCGTAAGAAATATTTAAACAATAGTCAGCTATTACGTCTATTTCTTCATCCCAGGCAGAGCAGGAGAGGTCAGTCACGGCCCCAGCCCAGTGGGCATGGCCTGGCTCTCCGGGCCCCTCTTCCTGCTCTGTCTCAAGCTTGTTTGCCTCCGGGGCTTGGAGGGAGCCCTCACTCCCTCTGGGCTGCAGCAGGAATTAAGGGGGGAGGAGACACTAGCCACAATTCCATTCCTGGTTCCATCTTATCAGAACCGTTGGTGTCCCTAAGCTTTCTGTCCAAAGGACATCTGTGACTAAACTTATTCTCAGGTCTGGGTGCTCCGCCCTTCACTCCACTTCCTGCAATGAGTTTAATGATGTTGAACTCTGCCTGAGCAGCCAGCACCTTGTGCCTTCCCTCCCAGCTCCTCATCTCTGAGTGCTGAGCTGGAAAGCCACACTCACAGTCCCCCAGCTCCCCACAGGAACAGGGAGACTTTCTAGACAGAAATGGCCCCATTCCCCAATTCCAGTCTCTTTGCAACTCAGCCTGAATGACTCATCCCTAGGTCCTGTTGCCACCAAAGAAAACAATTCCTCCTGATAAATTGTTAATCAGGAAACCTGGGTGAATCTCAGTGCAAACCTTTTCAGCTGTGCTGCACTGAGGGGAAAATTTAAACAGCTGGGTTTGGTGGCCAGGTGAGCACCTTAAGTTGTAATGGCTTCAACTCCTATTTAGATTCTTCAACTAGCTCTTGAGTGCCTGAGTATGAGAGCACACAGCATGCAATACAGGCAGTACTATTCTCCAAACACTAATTTTTTACTAAGATAATGGAGTAAAGATGCTGGTTACTCCTTCCAAGAGACGGGAAAATACATTAGTACAAAGAGGAGGAAGAAGGACAAGTATATAAGCCGAGGTCTTCTCTTTGTCAGTCTCCACCTACGCAGTCCTGCCAGGTAGCTAAACCAGTTTAAACCAGATCAGCAGCTTCCCAGGAGCGTCCTCCAGCAGCAGGTCAGGTGTGGAGATGATGTTCCCATGGGCATCTCTGCTCACCAAGCTGCAGCCATCGGGGTGACCACATCTACCTCCTGGCCGGTTGTGGATAAAGTGAAGGTTCCTGTGGCCAGGATTCTCACCTGGTCCTGGTCGGCTAGCTCACTACACACGTGTGGGCAATACTTTGCTATTGACTCTATATGAAGAGCTTTACCCAGTGTTCTGGGTGACAGTCACACAGCTGCACAGACGCTACAAGGACAGAGACTGAGACGGCTGCCGGGGCAGAGAGGCCCAGAGGCAGAGACCAGCTTGCCACATGCAGACTCACTCTTGGTGGACAGGATTCTAGTGATTGACTTGCCACTGTGGGAATAAAGTTGGGTATAAACCCTTTCACCCCAAGAACATTCCATTGTCATTTTTTGGTCTCATTGAATCCATAGTGAACTTGTCCAGGGCTGAAACCCACTGGCAAGACACCAGTGAAGGTCTATCTGAAGACTGTAGATAAAGCCTGCTATTATGGGGTGCTAGTTTACAAGAAGCTTTTACAAGTAAACTTACTACTAATCATTTCTGAGGTTCAGAGTCTTCCAAGATAGTTTTGCTCCAGCAGTTTATGGGTGTGATACGAATCTGCATTGAAAGCCATTATTTATCTGCTTATCTCATATTTCAAGAGGTTGATGTCTGCTCTTGCCTTCTTGACTTTATAAGGCAACTTCTCTGCAGGCAGGAGTGGAAAAGGAATAGGAACTTGGGTATAGGGACAGCTCTGTTTCTTACTTGCTGTGCTTCAGTTTGTATGCTCTATTCTTTTGTATAGATCTCACTTAGTCCTCGTAACAGCTGTGTAAGGTGAGTGTATTTCCACCCATCCACCCTCAAGATGAGTACACACTTACACTCACTTTGTAGAATAAGAAATCAAGGCTCAGAAAGATTAAATGAGGTATCCCAGATTTTGGCTGAGGCAAGATTTGAACCCAGTGCTTGTATTCCTTCTCACACTGCAGTTCTGCCAGCAAAGCAGATAAACTTGTTCCTCTCTGTGTCATTGGACCATCAACATAAGCAAGACTTACATATGTTTTTATGGTGTTCCTTTTGGTTTGAACTCACATCTTATAGAGCAATGATTTATTCTATGATTGCTTTAAAATTTTAGGAGTCATTTTGGTGATAAGGAAAGGGTGATCCCAAAATCTTACATATGCTAAAGAGAAAGCTCTTTACCTGGTTGAGGAATCAGCTGGCCTGTTGTTTTTCCAGGACTTTCCCAGTATTAGTACTGAAAATCCCACATCCTACAAAACCCCTCAGTCCCTGAAAAACTGAAGTGATGGGTCCCATTATGATAGGACCCCTTAAATAGTGTGGTGCCATCTGGTGACTGGTGCCACAAATTGCAGGCATAATTAACCATTAGTCACTGCCTTGCCTATTGGCCTGTTTTTTAGCAGCATCAATGTGGTCCATGTTCTTAAACAAACAGGTGGATAAGGCTTCCACTCAAGAAAACAGACTATAGCAGATATGATATTAATTATTCTCATTCTGATCATGTTAATCTTTAATTAAGCCATTCATATTTAATTTCCTGCAACTATGTGATCAAGATGTGATCATCGTCTAGTAGATTAAAGATGTTTTCAAACTTAGGTCATGGAAAGGCTATACCCTTTCATTGTCTTGTCTTCACTTTCATCTCCACCTCTTCCTCCTCCCTTTCCTTCACACACATCAGCTGTCAGGTCAGTGGTATAGACAGGCAGCCGAGGTCCAGCAAGGTAAATGACTTGTCCAGGGTAATGTGGAATACAGGGGGGGTGGTCACACCCCCATCCTTGCTCCTTTGCCCTTACTCTCCCAGCATTTCCATCAAATCATGAATCTCTCCATGTTCTTTCCATCTTCTCAGAGTCCAGTTCTCTGGCAAATGGTACCAGCAGTAATCCTGGAAGATGTGGGTCCTCCTCCCAGGAAACATGGTGTCTTCATTGAGCTTACATGCACTTGTCTCCTTAATTCAATCCAATTCAAGTTCAGATACTTTAGCCCCTACTATGTGCCAGTATAAAATATTCTGGAGTTAACCATTTTTAATTACAGCGATTTCTTCACATTTGTCACTGCCTGGTTCTGGGAGTGGTACCCTCCTTTACACATTTGAAAAAGACCTAAGACCATTGGGCTCACATTTTAGTACATCCCACCAGAGACTGCTAAACCCACTGGGGCAAAGGGAAGGATTTTCTGTCCTTGGAATAACTGTGTGTGGGTCACAAAGTACTTCTCACCCTGTGATCTCCTTCAGTCTGGGCTCCTATAGCCTAGGACAGTGGTTCGGAGCTGACTGTCTGCAGTCAAGCCTGGCTCCTCCCCTTGTACTGGCTCTCTGGCCTTGGGAAAATTATTTAACCTCTCCATGCCCCAATTTCCACATCTGAAAATGTGAACAGCAGCAGTCTTGTGAGGATTCAAGGAGATAAACCAGACAAAGAGCTCAGCAGAGTGCTGCCTGGCTTGTCATATGCACTGTGGAAGTGTTAGCTGTTACTGTGCCCCTGAAACCCCAGAGAGTTCCCAGGCTTCCTCTTGACAGTGAGGAAATTGAGACCCAGAAAGGAGAAATAATTTACCCATTAGAGGCCAACTTTGAACTCGAAACTGAGTCTTCAGCCCACCAATCTTAAGATCCTTTCTCTGCCCCACATAGATCTTAACAGATGGCAGGCTGGTAGTTTGTAGATTGAATATTTTATTTGTTCACTTTATTGTTTTACTTAATCAAAATACTACACATAATGAAATCAGAGTGTCTTACTCTTCTTGAAAAATGAGAAGTTCTGGCCATCTGGGCTTACATTCTCATGTGACAACCATCTGCTGGAACTAATTAGTGACAGCCGCTACTTCTCTGCAGACCCTACCCTTCCCTGTCACCCCCTAGGTCTTACAGCTGAGTGCCAGATTTTATTTTTTGCCCACTGAGCTCACACTGTTCCTTCCCTCATTTACAGTGAAATGTCCCTTCCAACAGTGGAAAATGACCCATAAACTCTAAAAGCTCCATTGTTTTTCTCAAAGTGGGCATGCAGCCCCTGCTTACCTGCTGGCGCAGCAGGCACTGGGCTCACAGCCCTGCCTCAGTGCATCTGCATGGCTTCCCCAAGGGGGCCGTGGCCTCCACAGGGGCCGGATCTCCCAGAGAGGCCAGGAGCTCTAGGCCCTAGAAGCTTGCTTTTCATCTGAAAGCTTTTGATAAACACCAAGGGTAGATGGTTTCTTCCCAATTCTTCAGATGAGAAAATAGAAGAAGAAGGAGCCTACCTAAATTAGCCATGGGTAGGGCCTGACGGAATGCGAAGTCTCCAACGTCTTTCAGCCTCAGGCTCCAGTCTGAGATGCCACATGGAGAGGAGGGCCGCCCAGACAGCACCTGTGCCACCAGGACCTCCCCTGCAGAGCTGTCCCTCTTCCCGACTACCTGAGCAGAGGGAGAGAAGAGCTACAGCCTGCCTTTCCACACACCCACTCAGGGCTGGCCAGGCCCCACTTCCAGAAGAGTGACTCAGGCTAACAGAAGCCAAACCGGTTCTTATCTGCAAAAAACTGGCGGTACATGTGAGGAACTGAGCTGTATTAGTGGGGCTGGACCTTTGTGCCCACCCAGCCCCTGTTGCCACCAACCATGTACACATGCATTCAACAAAATGCCAGGCACTCCTCCAGGCACTGGGGCAAAGCCAGATGAGGTTCCTGATGTTCTGACAGAGGAAGGCAGCAAGAAACAAGTAAACAAATAAACTAACTTCATATGGCAGAAAGCACTATAGGGGAAGTCCAAAGCATGATGTTTGGGGGGGACCCAGGGGTGGGTGAAAGTTACCAGGGAAAGCCTCTCTGAACGGGTGACATTTTTGCTGAGGCCTGACTGATGTCAGGTAGAACAAGAATCCCAGGCGAGGGAAGAGCAAGTGCAGAAGCCCGTGGATGGGGGTCTTCATAGTTTGTTTGGGGGCCATGTGGAGGCCAATATGGCTAGGGCGTGACTTTGGGGGCATTGGCATCCACCCCTCTTCAGTGGCCCTCAGGTTCCATACCTAGCTGTTGGCATGATGCTGTCCACCAAACAAACGCTCAGTCCCCACCTTCTCTGGAAGACCCTACATTCTCAACCTTCTCCTCTCTGCCCTTCAGCGCCTGCTGTCACGGCCCTGGACGCCGCCATCAGGGGAAGGGAATAGAGAAGGGGCAGACCTGCCCTGGGACTGCCTCCATCCTGCCACCTTTAACTATTCCTCCTATAGGGGAAGAACAGGCCCTGCTCACTTGCAGAGGGCTCAATGCTCATAAACTCTCCAGAGGAGTCTGTTAGAGCTCCTCACTCCCCCAACCCTGTCTCTGTGGCCTGGGCTTGCTCCCAGGGTCCCTTGGCTCAGCCCACAGGGCCTGAAGTCAGGCTGGGGTACAGGGAGCCAGAGACGCAGGATGCCCTGTGCAGGGGTGCTCCTGACCACAGGGACTTCCCACAGCGCCTCCACTTCCTGCTCCCCTCAGCCTTGGCTCACCAGCTGGAGTGCCAGGGCTTCTGAGGCTGGGCTGGGAGTTTCTGAAATGGCTTTGGTGGAGAAATGCCTATTTGCTAATGAATCAGGAACTAATTTTGTAAACCTGGAAAGTTTGGCCTGGGGCAGCCAGGGGACCTGCCCATGGAGCCCATTTTGTCATCAAGGTGTGTCGGTTACATCAGGAGGAGCAGCCCTGACATGGGCTCTGCCACCTGGGGGTGCAGACATGAGGTCACGATGGCAATGGCATGATCCTGGGACACCTGTACAATGGGCAGTAAGACCAGCTCGTGAAGTGGTCATTAGGACTGAGCCAGCAGCCACAAGGTAATAGAACACAGATATTATTCTCATAGGGCACAGGTCTGATTTCTTCCCTGGGAAGCTAGGGGCCTGGCCTGGTCTGGGGTCAGTAAGGTGATGGTAAACTAGGCTGCCAGTCAGGGCCAGGGGATGCCATGTTGACGAATGCATAAGGCTGGGCATTCCCTGGTCAGCCCCAACATTGGGGTACATCCAGGGTGGAGGGACCACGTGGGTATCACTAACCCCCAGGGCCTGGCCCACTCCAGAATGCTCTTTGCCAAGTCTGACACTACTCTTCCAAAGCTGTAAAGCTCTGAGGGATCAGTGGCCTGGCCCGGGGCACTCAGAGCACCTGAGAAGCCTGGAGACCAATGTCTCAGAGACTGGCAATTGTAGGAAGAGCTGGCATTCAGAAACTTGGGAATTTCTGGTGGCTGGGGACCCTTGGACCTGGTGAGGGAACTTCTGAAGAACCCCGAAGCACTCCACCCCCAAGGACTGACTGACCAACCACTCTAGCACTGACCTGCCTCGGGTGAGCCCGCTGCACAGGGAGGAAGGGGAAGGGGCCTGGATAGGAGGCAGGAAGTAACCAGGTACACAGGTGTCAGGAAATGAGGAGCAGGACACTGAGGTCTATGTTATTAGAGCCCCATCTTGGGCTGGGACAGCTGCAGGGGATCTCTTGACAGGAGAGACCCCAGGGCCCCCAAAGGGATGTCATACCCTAGACCCAGGGGCTAGTGGACTGAGAGCCTGGGTGAATCCCTCCCTGCAGACAGGGGAGAGTGGCCTGAGCAGGCAGCCACCTCCTTCTAGTTTCAGCACTTGAGGCCATAGCCATGCACCTGAGTTTTGAAAAGAGATGGCCTTGGTTTTCCCATTCTGATGATTATAAACTCTTGAGCTGTTTCCCATGGTTTTAGATAAACACTGAAGTCTTTACAGAGTCCAAAAGTCCACACAGCTGGGCTCAGTGTGCAAAACAACCCCCCTTATTCTCTGAACTCCAGTCACACAGGCCTTTTGATTCCTCAAGTTTGCCTCTTCCTCCTGCCTCCGAATCTCTGCCTAGGCTCATCCTCCACCTGGAATGCCTCCCTGTGCCCCGCTCCACTGTTCAGTCAGCTGTCATCCCGAAGATCCAGCTCTGATGCTTCATTTGTGTGATCCTCTGTGATCCGCCTCCCTGGCAGTCCCAGCAAGAGCTGCCTGTTTTGTCCACTGTTACATCCCTGCCTCAGAGCACAGGACCTGCCACACAGAGAAATGGATAAAGGACAGATGGTGGCACCACTCACGTGCACAGTGCCCCTTTCTGTCTCTCACACACACACCCCTCATACATCTCTGTAAATGAAGGGGGCTCCCCGGCATGGCACTCTGACACAAAGTGCACATCAATCAAGGTCAAGACTTGCAGACTGTGCTTAGCCCATGATCCGTGCTTCTGGGAACCACCCCCGTCACCACCACCACAACTCATGGGGCCAGTACACGTATAAATGTACCTAACTTTGTCCCCAGGCCACAGCCTACTGGCCTTGTGGTGGGCAGCTGCTTCAAACCACCCAGTGCCAGGAATAAATGATTAGAACATGGAGAGGCCAAGCCACATGTAGCTGCTTTCAAACAGGACTTCAGATTCCATAAGCTTTAGAGTGGCCACCTTGCACAGGTGCTCAGGGAAGCAGAGGACACTATTCTGTGGGAAGAGAACAGGGGCAGACAGAAGCAGAAATGAGAAGGCAGGCCTCCGACTGACAGGTGGTTATGGCTGCCTTCAGTCTCATAACATCCATTCTTTTTAGTCTTGAGAGTCTCCGATGCACCTCCTGTCACTGTGTCCTGTCTCACGAATTCCCTGTCACAGCCAAAGCTGGTCCAAGCCTGTCTGTTCCCTGCAACCAAAGCCTTAAATAATCCAACAAGAAACACACAAGGGAACAGAGGAGTCAATCAAAATGGAAATACACAGGGACAGACTCCAGTAAAGCACGAGTTGGCAATGGGAGGGATCATGTCTACACGTGTTTAGAACATTCCGGTTCACAAAGCTCCTGCGCATGAATCTATTGGTTCTGTAGTGCTTGTTGAGGGTGTGTTGGTCTTGTGCTGGCAAGCCACTCCTCCTTCCTTCAGTCCAGCAGTCCAACCCCATCCTCAGTCACAGAGCATCGTGTATAAGACCTGAGCCAGAGCAACCTGAATCCTCCAGCTGTTGTTCAAGCTGCATCTGGACGAGTGGCCTCTTTCCTCTTTCCTTTGCAGCAGCCAAGTGGTAGGGATGCCAGCTAGCTCACGGTGGGGTCCCTTGCACCAACAACCTACAATTATAACACACCTTGACTGGTCACTGCATGTATGCTTCCCCTGAACAGGAGGTGTGACCTCTTCAGTTCTGGCCATTCTCATGGGTGGGGGGTTGGGAGGGAGATCTCAGCGGCACACAGCATCTACAGTAACAATGGCCAGTCACAGCTGTCGTGCTATCATATGGATTGATATCATATGCTGTCGTATCTCACTGAAGTTTGTTTTCCCCACACACCACCACAGGTGCTACGTCAGATGCTGAGGGCGCACAGGTGAGCAGGGACGAATCCGTCCTCACAGATTCAGTCCTCACACCTCCAGAAAACCACATCACGGGGTGGTATGTGGATGAGCTAGGCACCCTGCCCAGGTGGGGGGGTGGGGCCAGGGCAGGAAGATGGGGCAGGTAGGGCAGGAGGGAGGAAGTGAGGCCCAGAATGAGAGGAGGCCTGGTGGGCATGCAGGCAACTCTAAGTCACCAGAGCCAACATGTAGGGTTCAAGGGGAAAGCAATGGGAGGAGGAGCCTACAGGGTGGGAGGGGCCCTGGCCCCTAGATCCATGGGACCCTGGACTTGGGGCAGAAATGGGGGCTCCAGAATTCCCACCTTGGGGTGGCAGTGAGGGAAAGGCTAGCAACTCTTCGATTTGCATCTTCACCCTTACACTATGTGCTTGTCTTGAGAAGTGGGAGGTGAGGAGCTGATGGTAATTATGGGGTCCTATTTCTCCAAAAGCAAATTGAACTAAAATGTATCTGTGTTGGTTTGTTCATGTAACAGGATGGCTGGGCCCTGGGAATCCCTGCCCTAAACATTAGTCACCTGAGAATGCTTCCTTTTCTAAGGCCAGGGGCTTTCATGGGTAAACTAGAAGCACCCTGACCACGGGGTCTTGCGGTGCGTCAGAATTCCTGGAGAGACTGAGCCGTGAGCCTCTCGGTGCACAATAACAGGAACATGCAATTGACCTGTGGTCTGTTACAAAGGGTTGCATCACTGGGGAGAGAAGGCTGTGCTCAAGAATGGAACAGCCCAGAGTATGGGGTTGCCCTGGACCTAGAGGCCTCTCCAGCTGGCCGGATCTCAGTGCTGGAGGCCAGGGGTCAGGGTCATGGACTTAGAGCTTAGGAGGGCTTGCCTCCCTTGATCTGTGGCAAGAACACAGGGTGCACACCTAAAGCCAACCTGGCTGCTGGAAGAGGACTCTGAGGGGATGGTTCCAATCAAACTCACTCCCCTTTGTGGTTCATGCCCAACCAACAGAGGATGGTTTTTCTGCATGTGCACAGTCTAGCATGCAATGGAGATTAGCAG